CCGGCATAATTGCTGTTTTTCTGCCTCAAATCTTTCCTTTTTCATCCAGCTACCTTTTACTGAGATAAAGCCTCCCTACTTTTACATCTTGAGCCTAATCATTGCTTTCCAAGGAAAACCCTATCACATATTTCTGTTGATTTTATCTTCTGTTAGGTTTTTAAAAAAACATAAAAATTCTTTTGTATTATTATCTTATGGTTGTATTTTATGCTTATTTGTGTAGTACTTTTAACATGTCTCTCTAGTGAAACTATAAACCCTTTAAAGATAGATTCTAGACTTTACTTCCCTTTGTTATCCTATTTCCCAAACTTGGAGCTCAACAAATAATAGTTAAATGAATAGAAAGTATTTCTTTTCCACTTTGTGCCATAAGAAGACATTTAATTTCTTCTTTTGTTTTTTCCATGAATTTTGATACTCACTTTGCAATTGGTTTTTATTATGCCTTATGCAGAGAAACTCTTCTCCATGAAAAACAGGGAGTGACTTTAAATTAATGTGACATTATTAAGACATATGTGAAAGTATTTTTAGAGTGACTATATCCATACTTTTGTTTTCAGGGAGATGAGGATCATGTTGTTAGTTTGTGTTATGAAACTATTCAGGACAGCCATTCAGTATTGCTTTTCTGTCCATCAAAAAAATGGTGTGAGAAGCTGGCAGATATCATCGCCCGAGAGTTTTATAATCTACACCATCAAGCTGAGGGTAAGTTACTGATGGAAAGAAAAGTTTTCATATTTAGTACCTTTGCTTGAAGGTAATATTAGTGAACATGTTCGCCAATCATGGCTGTTTGAACATTGCTGTGATCTGCCTACTAGGCACACCTTGAAAAAACTAGGATTTTTTGAGTCCAGTTTTTTCTTTGTCCTTATAGACAATATGTGCATTGTCTAATAATTTTCAGATTGTTACAATACTGAAGTTATGCAATTAGATACTAAAGTTCTTTATCTGGGACCAATTGAGTTTGAACCCCTGAACTGTATGTAAAACTTCACGTATACTCATTTTTCTGGAGGAAAGGACCATAGCTTTATTTTCATCCAAAGGAAAATATGAACTCTTTAAAAAGAAATACACATGCTAATGCAGATATGCACACCTATCTGTGCATATATACATATATATACACTTGCTTATATGTATATTATTCACATATATATTTAAAAATCATCTTTCTTGA